CTCCTTCCCACTGAAGGACGTGCACAGGTCGGCAGCTCCTCTGAACCTCGGCTGCAGCTCAAAGCAGCGCAGAGCCCCAGCACGTGCCAGGGAAGGCTGGCCAGCGTTGGAAATGTTTGTCTTTTACGTGGGTTGGCATGGAGCAGGAAGAGCCAGTGCTCAGAGACGCCATCAGAAAAACGAGGCACATGCAAAAAAGAAACTGCAAAATGACCTCGTTTTATGACTGGATGACACCGTTTTACCCATAGCATCGTATGAAAATTGAGCTCAACTGTCTGACATCACTAGTGATTTGTTGCAGAAACACATGACATTATTGGCATGATCCTTCTCAAAAATGAAAAGCGAGTTACAATTAGGCCACAAGAAAAACCTGGCTGCATGGCTCGGCGTCCTTGGTTTGAAGGGGAAGCCACCATTTGAAAAATGCAATCTACGATTTCACCACATGATCCTAAACAAACTCACTAGGACTTGTTTCATGGTCAAATGGACCGTGGTTAATTTATTCTCAAACTATTTTGATTAGAGATGGAGTTCCCCTGGACAATCCAGTTGTGCTGCTAAAAGTCCTAGCATAAGCACAGAAAGTTTTGCAGACTTTGAAGCTCCTATACCCTACACTTCAGCCTAGGCCCCTTTTTTTTGTGTGCATGATGAAACCATGCACAAAAGAAAATATAAAATAAAAAGAAGAAGAAAAAACCACCAACAACCAACCAACACACCCGCACAACCAAAAAAAAAAAAAAAGCTAGGGAAACAGGAACCATCCAACAAGAACTCCTGCGCTGAACTAGGGAAACAGTTTATAACACCAGGAAATCAGTTTTTAACAGAGCTATGAAAAGCTGGTGCCGCTTTTCCAATGTTGCAATGATCAGTGGAAGCTTCCAGTTAAGGAAGTGAAGGCACAACAATTTAAAAAGGAAAAGTCACATGAATCCCACCTACGGCCACTTTGTTTTATTTTTTTAATATTAGAAAAAGACTGAAAGAGGTAAACCGTTTTGCTAGAGGTAAGCTAAGCCACAGCAGAATGACACCTCACACAGCACCTGGCATTTAAGCCAGTGCTTACGAAACACTGTTTATATGAAACGCCGGCCAGAGTTCGAACAAACCTGCATTTATAGAATGAAGAAACACAAAACTGAACGCTTTCTAGTTTTCATGCCCACACAGCATACGATTAATATACGCGGTAAGAGTCAAGTGCGGTTCCAGTGTTTATTTTGAAAATGTGTTTTACACCCACTTGAAGTAAATCATTTTTATCCCCTGTAATAGTTTCAGGCTTTCAGGCTTGGCAAGGACGGATTCTTTCCCCATGTTTTGAACGGGACCGAGCAGAGCCGCTCTCCGCAGGAGCGGCAGCCTCAATGGGGCCTTGTGTCCCCACACAGCCCATCTGTGTCGTGGCCCTCCCCTGGC